CAACATCCCTGCCTCGGTGGAACACGTGCTGTGTGTCTGCCCAGAGTTTCAGAGGCTACGCGAACAACACCGACTCCCAGAGAGCATCAGGGAGCTACTTGGCAACGACCCCTCGACGTTGACTGCGCTGATTGCATTCTTGAAGGACGCTCACCTATACAACCAAATCTAGCCCTCTCGTCGTGGGCTGCGCTGTCCGTGTTCTTTCACCTTCCTATTTTCCTGCCGTCGGGGTATCTCTGCCGGACTGGGGCACTGTCTCTTACGGTGGAGCTCTACCTTGTTCGCGCATCCATTCCTCACCACAGTCCCGATGTAACTCCCACTTTACATTAAGTTTTTTAAAATGTTGTCTGTCCCTTTTGGTGGGTAATCAGAGCCAGTTGTACGTTATGTAATGATAGACTGAAACGCTTTCTTTCGAGGCAGGCCCTAAGCCTGACCCTCGATTATCAAATGTGATGAACTAGCCTACGGCTAAAAATCACAAAAAAAAAGAAAAAAAAAAAAAAATAAAAACCAACTACCATTGTCTTTTGAACTCTAAAACAAAGCACATCAATTAATTTGATGAGATATCACGTTCGTGGAAACGAGGGACGTTTCATGGCTACCTACGACAAGGAGCCGAGTGCGCGTTTAAGTGTAGATGCCATAAGCGGTCACAAGTGTTAAGAAACAAAAAAAAAAGTGATAATACCAACTACCACCCATCATGTGACACAACTGATTGCCATCATCATCTTAGTGAGTGACATTAGGACAAAAGTGAAAAAAAAACACCCGGAATAAATGTTAGAAAAATGATTATCGTTAAACAAAGTGACATGCCGTTGTTGATTTAACATTAAAATGGGAAATCAAAAATCCAAAAGCACTTCACAAGAAGGAGTTACGAACATTAATATAGCAGAACACCTAGAGAGTAATGCTCTCTACCACGAGTCGCAGGAAATTAAACTGTGGTTCATCTTAGCGGTGAATGTATTACAGTTATTGTGGTTGTTGCGCAAAGCGCTAAAGAAGAAGTGGCGCCGGCAAGGGTTTGACCGGGCGAAAGCGATTTCGCAAGGAAATCTGAGTGACATTAAAGTGGACAATTAAAACATAAATAAACGATATCTTATCCAAATGCAGCCTTGATACTGCCAGCAAGAGTGCCCAGAATAGTGTCCAGAGCTAATGAGAAGAAAAGAGTTAAGTGAAACCGAAAAATGAGCCGCCAAAAATAATCAAAATGCGCGTTTGATCTTCGGTGGTGTAATGCCACAATTCACGAACGAAGTGTAGAGCTAAACAGCCAGTGGAAACCACGCAAAAGTAGACAGAAACAATGCAGATAGATGACTAAAGATGTGATGTATGTAGTCCAGCAAGGAAATTATTTAGAGCCAATCAATTGCAAAGGACGCGGTGCTCATCGATAAAAGTGTAAGTGAAGACGAAGAATGCTAGTTTGCTACTGCTGTCATCGTGTTATACGTCTGCCGAGGCGTAATGGAGTGATCAACGCAAAAAAAAGGAATACGGAACGAACAACGTCGCCGGATACGAGATCTATTTTGGGTTGACGAATAGAAAGATAAGCTAAGTACCATTTCTTTTAATCTTAATTTTGTTTTACTCAGAACGAATTACATATAAAAAAAAAATAATGCATCAATTAAATCCGCTGTAATTCATTAAAACAAACAAAAACAGCAAGTTTATTTAGAGTAAATGGATATAGCACAAATCAGGCATGAGATAGATGTCCTCATTGCTGGGTTGAATTTCATAATAACAAATTTTGCAAAAGCTCCGAACAGAGCTTACAGTAAGAAATTTTTAATTAATAAGAAAAAGCAAGCAACAAATAGTTATAAACTTATTAACGACTGCCTAGCACAAAACGAAGACAAGTTTGCACACGCAGAGCTTAATTTCATTATTAAAGGAGTTCGACAAAAGTATAATGACATCCTAGTAATTGTAAATGAAAAGCTTGTACACGCGAAAGACCAAATATCAAGTATACGGACGATTGCTCTAATTTACTTATTTTACATAAAGATAAAAAGAAGGCAAGGCAGAATGGCTGGATGTTAAACTGGGAACATCACTGGTACCCATTTACGATGGGAAATCAGAAAATTTGGACTCATTCATTGACGCGGTCCGTCTTTTCGAAGACACTGTAAATCAAACATTTGCCAATGGCACCTCACAGCAAAAAAACGCGGCAGCACAAACTGTCGTGCGTTTTGTTCGGACTCGCCTGACCGGCAAGGCGAGGCAAACGATTAACGAAAATCAAACTTTGAACGAGATGCTCGGTGCAATCCGAGTGCACTGTGCGTCCAAAATTACCGCAGACAGCTTGATCGCAAAGCTGAAAACTATAAGGCAGAATGGCGATCTGACTGATTTCTGCGAAAAAATTGACAGTTTATGTGGTCAATTAAAGTCAGTGTACTTGAAGAACGAAATTCCGCAAGACACTGCAAATAAAATGGCCACGAAATGTGGCACAGACGCTCTAATCAGAGGCGCACGCAACAACGATTCGAGAATTATCCTTAAGGCAGGATCATTCGATAAGATCACCGATGCCATTCAAAAATGAATGGAGAACGAAACCGAAGGAAATAGCTCGGCAGCTACTCAAATCTTTACGGTTGGAAAAATTAACAACCAAAGTCGTGGAAGAATATCAAATAATAATCGTGGACAACAACGTGGACACTTCCACAACTATAGAGGAATACAACATAATTTCCCGAGGAATCCTTTCAGTCGTGGAAATTATAACAACAATCGTGGAAATTTCCACAACAGAGGATACCGAAGTAACAGAGGGTATTCTCAAAACAGAGGATCGTTTTCCCAACGAGGACCGTTCAATCATAATTATGGGATGTTTTACGCTCAAAACATACCCCAACAGCCACAACTACAGCAACAAAATATCCCACAATCGTAACAAAACATGCATGGAGCTCAGCAAATTCAACACAATTTACCCGGTCCGCAAGCAAATTTTTTAGGCTCACAACAGGGACAGTTTACGCAATAAATCTGTCCGCATCAAATTTCGTACTATTAAACACGGAATGTTCTGAGCAACAATGCAGCTTTATAGTGGATTGTGGTTCAGACATCTCAGTGTTGAAAAGTACAAAAATTAAACCACACCAAAATTACAATCCTAATGACAACTGTGCAATTGCAGGAATAGGTAGCGGCACAACAAATTCCTATGGAAGCCTTACCACTAACCTCCAAATTGATGAATTTTCTCTACAACATAAATTTCACTTAGTTAACGATGACTTCCCAATCCCCACAGATGGAATTTTGGGAAGGGATTTTTTAACAAGCTATAAATGTTGTATAGATTACAGCACATGGATCCTAACGATTAATTTCAAAAATAATTTCATCTCGGTACCAATCAACGAAAAAACAAAGACTACACAAATTATATGCGAAATAATTAAGAAATTAGAATTACCCAACCTCACTGAAGATATGGTTACCATATCAAACGAAATTAAACCAGGATTAATGTATGCAAACTGTATAATTAATAATGAAAACAAGTTTGTAAAATTTATCAATACATCAAACGAAAATATGCTTATACCATCGAATTTCGTACCAAAAATGGGACCTTTACGAAATTATTGCTTTTATAATAAATTTTCTAAAAAAACGTCGTTAAACGAAAGAAACAACCGACTATTGCATGAATTGCAACTGAATCATATCGACTCAAAATTAAACCTGACCTTGAACGTCTTTGCATGCAATATAATGATATATTTGCACTACAAGACAATACCCTATCCACCAATAATTTCTATGAACAGGAGATTTTATTAAACGACAAATCACCGGTTTACATTAAAAATTACAGGGTCCCGGAGACACAAAAAATTGAAATTCACCAACAAATTACGAAGATGTTAGAACAAAATATTATACAAAATTCAACTTCACCATACAATTCGCCCATTTTCCATACCGGAGACAAGAAATGGAGACTGGTTGTCGATTTCCGGCAACTGAATAAAAGAATTGTACCAGATAAATTTCCTTTACCTAGGATAGATGAAATACTGGATCAATTAGGCAGAGCGAAATATTTTTCCACGCTCGACCTAATGTCAGGATTTCATCAAATCCCATTACAGGAACATTGCAAAAAGTTCACAGCTTTTACAGCAGGAAATGGACATTTTGAATTCAATAGACTTCCGTTCGGGCTGAACATTAGCCCCAATAGCTTCCAGCGAATGATGACGCTGGCATTGAGCGGCCTACCGCCCGAATGCGTTTTCCTGTACGTAGACGACGTGATCGTTATCGGATGTTCACTCAAACATCATCTAACAAACCTATCAAAAGTTTTCGAGCGTATGAGAAATTGTAATTTGAAATTAAACCCGGCGAAATGTTGCTTTTTCAAAACCGAAGTAACATTTCTCGGTCATCACGTTTCCCAAGTAGGAGTACAACCTGATAAAGGAAAATACTCAATCATAAACAACTATCCAACTCCAAAAAATGCGGATGAAACTCGTAGATTTGTTGCATTCTGCAACTACTACAGACGCTTCATACCAAATTTTGCGGAAATATCACACCCATTAAATCAACTAACGAAAAAAGATGTAAAATTCAACTGGAACGAGAAATGTCAAGAATCATTTCTTAATCTAAAACGACAACTGTTGTCACCTAAAATTCTTAAATTTCCAAATTTCAAAAAGGATTTTATTATCACAACAGACGCCTCAAAAGTGGCTTGCGGGGCAGTATTAGCTCAAGAGTATGACGATATAGAGATGCCTGTGGCATTCGCCAGTAGGACGTTTACAAAAAGCGAATCTAATAAATCAACTATAGAGCGCGAACTGGCCGCAATCCACTGGGCAATTAAGTATTTTCGACCGTATGTATATGGAAGAAAATTTATTATAAAAACCGATCATCGACCACTTGTTTATTTATTCACTATGAAGGATCCATCATCCAAACTAACGCAGATGCGATTAGATCTGGAGGAATACGACTTCATAGTGCAATACATAAAAGGTAAAAGCAACGTTATTTCAGATAGAGTGAATCTTGATATACATGAACTTAAAAATATGTATGTTATAACTAGGTCAATGACCAAATGTAAAACAACTTCTTCAACCGTTCAACTGATTCCAACGGAACCTGATCAATTCCGAGTGTATGATGCCATTAACGGGTTAGAAACTTTTGATTTACCAAAATTAAGCTTCTTATATAATCAAAAAACTAAAAGAATAGATTTAATTTTATTTAATAGAAATTATACCAAAAGTCTAGCTCTAGCGCTAGATCTTGAATTAAATAATCCAACAAATATATCATTCATGCTACAAGAAGCATTTGAAAAAATTGACAAAGGGATCCCTAATATTAAAATGAATACGAAAAATACAATTACATTAAAATAAAAAAAGGCCAAACAATTTGCAATCGCAACAAGCGATATAATTTTTCAGTACGTTGATGTCAACTTATTTAAGGAATTAGGTAACAAAATTCTCAGGAATGTTACCGTATTGATATATGAAAGACCTAAAATAGTAGAAAACGTAAAAGATATTGAAAATATTCTATATCAATATCATAACACTCCGGTAGGAGGACACATCGGAATAAATCGTCTCTATAAAAAGTTAAGACCAATTTATTATTGGGTTAATATGAAAAAAATAATTACAGATTACGTAAAAAATTGTAACCTTTGTAAAACAAATAAACATTTTACAAAGTAATACCCTTCAGCTGTAATCACTACCACACCGATACGACCATTTGAAGTAGTAGGGGGATGGTGTGACGTGTGCATTCCACATGTCATCGAATCCCATCCAGCACATCGTGAGAAATCAATTATTCCCATGCCATCGAACTGCTTATGCAACGAATGCAATGTGTGCATAAAGTGGTTCGATGACTTCAAACAGTTTTTAATAATTCTAACATGACACCAAAAATGCCATGGTCAATTTCACTTATTCAACGGCGCACTGATCGCATCGTTGTCAAGCGCACTTGGCGCGAACTGCCTTCTCCACATTCTCTCCCTTTTTATCATTCTCTCTCCCGCGAACATCGATCGTTGATTGGCGATCGTTTACATAACGATTTTACATAATTGTCTCCAAGCGTCTCCAGTAGGAAAACTGTAAACTTGAAAAAGGATTAATAAAAACCAACTACCATTGTCTTTTGAACTCTAAAACAAAGCACATCAATTAATTTGATGAGATATCACGTTCGTGGAAACGAGGGACGTTTCATCTGGGAGTGACTTTAGTATTCTTACAGCGCACTTTCGGGGAGGCGCATTTTCGTTTTGAGGATCCGTTCGTTTTCAAAGATGCGTGTACCACCGTAGAGTCACCCTCATCGGATGAGTCAGAGTCCGATTCTTCAGCTGACAAAATCGAAAATTGATTTTCATCTTGGACGGCTGATGCAGCCTTCACCTGACTGTTTGGAGCATCCAGAGATTGAACGCTGCACTTTATCGGAGTGCTGCTTGTACATCGGGCACTCTTGCAAGGAGTGTGGATTCTCGCCACAGTAAGCGCATTTTATAAATTCTTTGTGGCAAGAATCCTCTTTGTTGTTTTCACCACATTTGCCACAACGAGTTTTGTTGCCGCAATGGCTGGCTGAGTATCCCAGCCTTCTGCAGTTGGTACAATTATATACCCTCTGTACAAACAACCGCACCGGAAAAAAAGCACCATCAACTTTGACAAAGTTTGGGAGAACTGAACCAGCGAAAGTCACCCGAAACGAGTCTGAAGGCTGATAAACTTTCTTGCCATCTTGCAAAGATACTGAATGCAGTTACCTGACATCCAGTATCTGTACCTGCGCTCCGATTTTCGAGTTTTTGAAGCAACCCGATGATCGTTTTAAGTTCTCGACACTCAGACTCGCATTGGTGTACCAGCTTGCTTCTGATGATGTTGCTGCGCGACAGCAAAAATCGAGGAGGAAATGAGGAGCGCACACTGAATTTCAAAGAGACTTTGAATTATTCCTGCAAAAGGTGCCATCAATCAAAGCAAATCAAATTCCTCTGCATACAACAAGTTGTAAGAGTTGCACTCGGTCAAACCGTTCAGGTGTGTCAGCTTCATAGCTTACAAAAACCGTTTGCATCAATTGTGAAGGAGAAAACTTACGACGAAGAACCGTCAAGTCAGATTACTTATGGTATTTCTGTACGGAAAACTCATAAAAATGTCGAGTAAAATGTAACACTTGCGTTGTTATATTGAATATAGATGTAAGGAATGCTGTGAATGATGACAATAAGAAATTTGTATTGTATTGAAGCAAAACCATAAAATAAGAGATAATTATTTTTTTTTTTTTTTATCTAGTTCGTTTATTTGGGAGGCTCAATCGCGTTAGCTTTACGGAGCCGATAATTCATTGTTCACTGTGTGTAACAAAATTCACTTAATTCTATGTCTAGTAGGAGTTGGGCCGATTACTCGCGGCTTACTCGAGGTTAGAAGGGTACATTTTCGAAGGATAGGATCAGGGGAGGAGCTTGGGGTAGGGTTTCGTTGTCTCATCAGAGCGTTGTCGCCAGTATGAACGGTAGTGCTGTTCTAGCTTCGTCCGGAGTTCGACCGGCTATGGTGGGTGACCAGTGGGCGACGATGAGACTCATCGAGACGGGGGGACAAGACAAACAAAAACTAATAAAGAGAGACAAAAGACAAAAGGAATTAAATTCTTATACTAGACATTTGAAGAAAAACATAAACGGACTGCATATAGCAGAGATCACGGGTTGCCAACACGTCTCTGATAGGAACATAGGGTTGCCTTCCTTGGGCCTCGAGGGTATTCAAAAGTCGCTCTCTGGCGGCGTCATTATCCGTACATTGCCAAACTGCGTGTTCGATGTCATCGTAACCGTTTCCACACCGACAGATGTTGCTGTCCACGAGGTTTATTCTATTGAGATGAGCATCTAGCGAGCAGTGGTTGGACATAAGTCTACTCATCACGCGAATGAAGTCACGACTTAAGCCCAAGCCTTTAAACCACGCTCTCGAAGAAACATTAGGAATAATTGAATGTAACCACCGTCCAAGATTTCCAGTGTCCCAATCGGTTTGCCAACTCGAAAAGGTACTCTGACGCACTAAATGGTAAAATTCATCGTGTGAAATTTGCCTGTCATACAATTCGCCTTCCTGCGCGCCCACCTTTGCGAGAGAGTCCGCCTTCTCATTGCCTGGGATTGAGCAATGTGAGGGGACCCATACAAAGGTAATCATATATGATCTTTCGACCAGCACACACATCTGCTCCCTTACCTTTGAAAGGAAATAAGATGAGTGCCTACCTTGTTTCATCGACCGAATAGCCTCAATCGAACTGAGACTATCCGAGAAGATGAAGTAATGGTCTGTGGGCATATTGGAAATCATCCCCAATGCGAAGTTGATTGCTGCCAGCTCAGCAACAAAAACGGAACAAGGTTCCTGAAGTTTGCGGAAGGCGCTAGAGTTTTCATTGAAGACACCGAAGCCAGTGGATCCATTGAGACGGGACCCGTCTGTAAAATATCTTTTCATGCAATTGACTTGTTGGTACTTTTCAGTAAAAATACGTGGGATAATAATAGGTCGAAGTTGATCGGGAATCCCATGAGTTGCTTGTTTCATGGTCAGATCATATTCAATTGAGGAACTGCGATTGGTGAAGTGAACACGGTCTGGAGTATAACAAGGAAGACACATATCTGATGATATGTAGTGGTGGTAGATTCTCATAAATCGAGATTGTGTGTTCAGCCCAAGAATTTCTTCAAAATTAGCAATTATAAGTGTGTTCGTCACTCCGCATTTGATTAGTATTCTGAGAGAGAGCTCCCAGAAACGGTTCTGGAGGGGTGTTACTCCTGCCAGAACCTCGAGACTCATGTTATGCGTTGAGTGCATACAGCCTAGAGCAATACGCAGACAACGATATTGAATTCGTTCCAATTTTATTAGGTGACTTTTTCTTGCCGAGAGAAAGCAGAAAGAGCCGTACTCTAGAACAGAGAGAATAGTTGTTTTATAAAGCGTTATGAGGTCTCCCGGATGAGCACCCCACCATGTGCCGCAAATTGAACGGAGAAAGTTGATCCTCTGCTGACATTTTTGCTTCAAATACGTAATATGGGCATTCCAAGTGCACTTTGAATCAAACCAGACCCCAAGGTACTTGAAAGACAATGATTGAGTAATGTTTCTGCCCAAAAGATTAAGATGCATTTGGGCTGGGTACCGCTTTCGAGTAAACACTACCAGTTCAGTTTTCTGCGGCGAGAATTCGATCCCTAGATTCATAGCCCAAGAAGACAAGTTATCTAAGGAATTTTGCAATGGTCCTTGCAAGTCCACGGCATGTGGACCTCTTACGGAAACCACACCGTCATCTGCAAGTTGTCTTAGCGTGCATTGTTCTGCCAAACAGTTGTCGATATCTTTGACGTAAAAGTTATAAAGAAGAGGGCTGAGACATGAGCCTTGGGGCAGGCCCATGTAGCTAATTCTGGAAGTTGTCAGTTGTCCAAGGGAAAAGTTCATTTGCTTTTCTGACAACAAATTGTACAAGAAATTATTTAAAATTCCAGAAAGTCCACATCTGTGCAGATTGTCTGACAGAATTTCAATGGAAACTGAATCAAAAGCCCCCTTAATGTCCAAGAATACTGAAGCCAATTGCTCCTTGTGTGCAAAGGCCAGTTGAATATCTGTGGAAAGCAGCGCTAGACAATCGTTTGTTCCTTTGCTCTTGCGGAACCCAAATTGTGTATTTGATAGCAAGTTATTTGATTCGACCCAGTGATCGAGTCTCCGAAGGATCATTTTCTCCAACAATTTCCTAATGCACGAAAGCATAGCAATCGGACGGTATGAGTTATGGTCAGACGCTGATTTGCCAGGTTTTTTAATGGCTATTACTTTGACCTGTCTCCATTCAGGCGGTACAATGTTGTTTTCTAGCAAGGAATTGAATAAATCTAGCAAGCGTCTTTTAGCGATATCTGGGAGATTTTTCAGAAGATTGAATTTAATCATATCGCTTCCCGGTGAGGAGTTGTTCGATGAAAGAAGAGCCATAGAGAAATCCAGCATTGAGAATGGTCTTTCCAGAGAGCCGCCGCTAGGAGACGCTTCTCGAAGAATATTTTGTGCTGGAACTGAGTCCGGACAGACCTTTTTAGCGAAATCGAATATCCATCGGTTGGAGTATTCTTCACTCTCATTGAAAGATGAGCGGTTACGCATGTTGCGAGCCACCCTCCACAAGGTGTTCATTGAGGTTTCTCGTGAGAGTCCCTCGACGAAATTGCGCCAATAACCGCGTTTTTTTGCTTTGATTAATTGTTTCAGCTTTGTCTCAAGCTTTGAATATTCCTCGAAGTAAGTGGAGGTTTTGTGTCTACGAAAAGCTTTGAAAGCATCAGATTTTTCTACATACAATTTTGTGCATTCTTCGTCCCAACCAGGTGTGGCTGGTCTCCTTTTAAAGGGTGCACTTGGAACTTTTCTTTTTTGTGCTTCCAGTGAGCTTTTGTAAATCAAATCGGCTAGGAATCGATATTCTTCCAATGGTGGAAGCGCATCTATTGATTCGACACCGATTGTCACCGCCGTTGCATATTTCTGCCAGTCGATGTTCCTTGTAAGATCAAATGGAACCCGAGATGGTTCTGCAGAGTGAGGGCCACACTTTATTGAAATGATGATTGGCAAATGATCGCTACCATGGGGATCATTGATAACCTTCCACTGACAATCCAATGATAGCGATCTTGAACACAAAGATAGGTCGAGTCGGCTTTCTCGAGCCGGAGGTTTTGCTATACGTGTCGCTTCACCAGTGTTCAAAATAGTCAAATTGAAATCGTCACATAAATCGTAAAAAATAGCCGCTCTATTGTCGTCATATAGATCGCCCCACCCAGTACCATGGGAGTTCATATCACCCAGAATTAATACTGGGGATGGAAGAATCGAAACTAGATTCCAGAGTTGACTACGGCTAATGGAGGTTCTTGGTGGAACGTATACTGAAGCTATGCAAAGATCTTTGTTCTTCACATTTATTTGGCAAGCAACGATTTCGACGCCGGATAGAGCAGGAAGGGAAATTTTGTAGAAAGGGTAGCACTTTTTGATCCCTAAAAGTACTCCTCCATAAGAATCGTCTCTATCCAGGCGTATAATGTTAAAATCGTGGAAGTTGAGTTCTTTATCGGAAGAAAGCCATGTTTCACAGAGAGCAAATATATCACAATCAGAATTGTGAAGTAAAAATTTGAACGAGTCTAGTTTAGGCACTAGACTACGGCAGTTCCACTGTAGCACAGTGATCATATCTTCAACCTCGTTCGACGAATTATCCATCGAAAGATATGATTGATGCAAGGAGGGGCCATGAAACAGTCAATTGCTTAAGATATGATTCTAACGTTGGAAGCAAGGCAGAAACTAAGCTTCTTAGAGGGTCTTGTATGTTGAACATGTTTAATATGAATTCCACAATGTCCGAAAAAGCTAGCAAACCTCGTTCGGACTTGGATTTCTTTTGAGAAGTTTGAGGAGCAGCTTTTTTATTTTTTTTATCTTTGTTGGGCAATGGCGGAAAATTCTTGCTGCATCCAGGGATTGGATCAACAGGAGCCTTCGGTTTTGTTTTTTCATCCCCATTACCCTGGGAATTTGGCAATCGTCTGGAGGTGACTTTAGTTTTCTTACGGCGCACTTTCGGGGAGGGGCATTTTCTTTTTGAGGAACCGTCTATTTTTGAAGGTGCGTGTACCACCGTAGAATCACCTTCATCGGATGAGTCAGAGTCCGATTCTTCAACTGACAAAACCGAAAATTGGTTTGCATCTTGGACGGCTGATGCAGCCTTCAACATTTGAGCATATGTCTGCTTGGAGCGTCCAGAGATTGAACGCTGCACTTTATCGGAGTGCTGTTTGTACATCGGGCACTCCTGCAAGGGGTGAGGATTCTCGCCACAGTAAGCGCATTTTACTGATTCTTTGTGGCAAGAATCCTCTTTGTGGTTTTCACCACATTTGCCACAACGAGTTTTGTTGCCGCAATGGCTGGCCGAGTGTCCCAGCCTTTTGCAGTTGGTACAATTATATACCCTCTGTACAAACAACCGCACCGGAAAAAAAGCACCATCAATTTTAACAAAGTTTGGGAGAACTGAACCTGCGAAAGTCACCCGGAACGAGTCTGAATGTTTATAAACTTTTTTACCGTCTAGCAAAGATGCTGAATGCAGTTGCCTTACATCCAGTATCTTCACTAGCGCGGTAGCGAATGTCGAGTTTTTAAAAGTTCCCGAGGCATGTTTCAAGTCCTCGACAGTCAGACTCGCGTCGGAGACCACGCCTTCTATCTCCACATCTCGAGAAGGGATGTAGATGTTGTACTCAACACTAAACAACTCGTGATCAGCAATTTTATTTGCCACATCATAAGTCGGTGCTTCTACACGCAGTTTGTTGAATCTTTCTTTGTGTACCAAGATTCCCGGATACTTACGCAGCAAATCTCTCGTTATGTCGAGAGTTTTCAAAGGTTTATTTTTGGGCCGAAAAAAGACAACCCATGGTCCTTTCGAAGACGGTTCATAGTATCTGGTTCGCGTAACGTAGGCATCGGAAGATGCCATAAGTGTTGCGCAAAAGCGGTGCGCAACCACTTAAGAAGGAAAAAAAATAAAACCTTCACTAATTAATTAATTTTAATTACTAGTAATTAAATTTTTTGCCCGACGTACGAACAAATCAAAAAGAAAAAAAAAATCGAAACAAAAAAAAAAACTTATATCTACTTGCAAAAAGTTGTCTCACTATGACCCATACTCCCCTACCAGGGGTGAGAGACAGAGTCACGCGCCACGAGGCAAAATTAAACTACAATAGGGAGGCAATGGACTTGCAAAATGTATTGTCTAATACTTATGCCGGTTGTAAACAACCTATCTGCCGTTGCAGCTAGATGGTCCGTTTGCTGCTGCTGGTGGTGATGATTGGTGTTGGTGGGTCGGCACGATGATGATAAAATGACTTGACGACCGGATGGATTACCGGGGTGGATTAAAGCTGGATGGCAACTCCAAGGGGCTCGGCCCATGGAATTCCACTTCCTCTGTTGCACACTGGTCACTTGGGGCACCCAATGGGGGGGTGAAAAAACCGCTCGGGCGGAAAAAACACCGAAAAAAATTAGATGCCGCGCGACTGAGACCGGGACGTTGTTAACCGACTGAGTGTTCAACTAGGAATGAGATAATTATTTTTACTGTTTATTTTCGTTCGTTTGTTGTTCAAATGTATTTATTAAGTATTATCCGAAGCAACACTAGAATCTCTTTGACAGATTGATGATATCTGAAGTGATATTTATGGCCCTTCGGTGAAAAATCGACCACTTTTCAGGTTAATCCAGGTTAATTCTGCTATTTTATGGTTACCGGGTAAGTGAATCTATTTGTTGGGAAGATATTTCAGCCTTATTCACGATACCATGCATTTTGGAGCTCTTATGTGTTACCCTATAACGAATATGTATTATTTTCGTGGAATAATTTAATACAGCGTAATGAATAAAAAAATAGCAACAGCTCATCAAAATCATAGCTCGAGGCAAACGTTCAAAAACTGACGACTTTTACGAAGAATCTGGATATTCGGGTGTTCTATGGCTACCAGGTGTTTTAAATAACATGGAAATGAGATTTCTCCATTTTATACAAGGCGCTGTGCGATTTGTAAAAAAAATAGAAAAAAAATCATGAATCTCTAGGACTACTTTTAGTAGCTGACCATTTTCCTGGTGAATCCGGATATCCAGAAGGGCGTTTAATGGCCATTGGGGGACCAAACTAATATGGCACTAAGACGAGCGGGCTACACATCTAAATCTCAATTCTAGATGCTCAAGAATTCTCACACTATCGAATCAATCTTCGAAAAATCTTCAATAATTTTTCGCATCTTCTTGCATCACGCATCATCTTTTTGCAGGAAATCTTCAGAATCGTAATCAATCTTCTTTCTATCTACGCAGCGTTTGCGCAGCTAACCACAGCAAAATACAATTTTTCCTGCATTGTAGATAGAGTCACCCCCCTCGCACTGAGATATATCTCCTCAACTAAGGGTTCTACATTTTCAAAAAAAAAAAAAATACGGGTCTCTTTTTAAGTCTATTTTCCCGGTGATTCCGGTTATTCAGAGGACCGTATTTTGGCCCCTCGGTAGCAGAATCGATATGTTGATGTCATATTTCCTCTTTGCTAATGATTATATGTAAGTTAGAAAAAATCGCGGATCTCTAGGTCTACTCTCAGGATTTGACTATTTTCCCGGAGATTCCGGGTATCCAGAGGACCGTATTCTTGCCACCTGGTAGCAGAATCGATATGCTGATGTCATATTTCCTGTATGCTAATGATTATATGCAAGTTTTGGATCGCGGATCTCTAGGTCTATTTCCACAGAGCCACCTTTCACTGGTTTTATAGTTCCGATTGGCCACCCACAACTTCAATCGGTTCCTTATCTGTTTCATTCGAAAGTAGATAGTCATACCTTACAAGAAGTGGCTCAATATTAAGATGTGGTCACAAAATTTGCTGAGAACCAGTCATATCACCATGAATCGACACGCATTTTGCTCGAGACTTTTCCGGGTATTCCGTTGCGGCTGGCCAACCACAGGTCCAATTGAATGTCTATCTGTTCCAAACGAATCATCACTGAATCATAACGATTGATCATTGCATTGATAAGAACTAGCCATGTCAACATGCATCGACACGCATTTTGCAGGGGTTATGTCAATTAAACAAAGCAAAATAAGTTTCTTCAATTTTTGACATTTTTATTAATGTTTGCCTATTTTTTTTCAGCTCTGCTAATGCCAAAAAATGGGAAATTGAGTTGGCAACCTTGAAGAGCAACAATCTTCGCCTAACAAGCGCACTACAGGTATGAATATATTATATTATTTTTTATAATTTTTCGTATATATATTCGCAGCTCCACTTAAACTCATTCCTTACTCTCTCCTCTGCCTGGATCCTCCCGGGACCACTGTGAAGCGACTATTTCGAGGGATGCTCATGCACTTGTCATACTCTCAGCGGTAGCTGACATTGCTAGATCGCTGCTCTTTTCTCCATTCATGCTGTAGTTTCGACATAATCTACGTGACTGCCCTACTGACGGCATTCCAAGTGACCTCCCCTCGACACATTTCAAAGATGACATTCTCAACGTTAAAGACTAGCATCTCCCTTCGCACTGCCTCAAACCTTGGACAGTCGAAGACCACATGCTCCGGCGTTTCATCGACGTTGCCACATTCTGGAAAGAGGGGTGACGCTGCGTGTCTGAACCGATGCAGGTATTGGACTGCAACTGCATTAGGTGGAAGTTGACTTTTCCGTGTTTTCTGTTCACCCAGGTCGAAAGATTCGGTATTAGTCTATGTGTCCATCTACCGTTCTCCGCCGTGATCCACACCTGTTACCACTTAGCCAACGGCTCCACTCTCAATACTTTCCGTACCCTTACGGCTTCTCTCCGCCTGTAGCACTCGGTGTCCTAACGGTGATGCCGTTAGGGATCATTCCGGCGAAAACACATACTGCTTCCGACGAGATGGTTCTGTACGTACTCATGACTCGCATGTTCATGAGCCGGAATTTTCTGTTCAGTTTCCTTTGGTTCTGCTTCGTTTCCAGCGCTGAAACCCAGGCTGGACCTCCGTACCTTAGTATCGACGACGACACACTGACCAGAAAACGCCTCTTGCTACTGCTGGGACCAGCGTTGTTTGACATGATTCTAGGTATCGCGTTGATGGCCTTCGAGGCCTTCTCACAGGCATATTCGGCGTGCCTGTTGAAGTTTAGCCGGTCATTGATCATCACTCCCAGATATTTTAACACACGCTTCAAAGCTATGGTGTGCTCCCCGACGGTGATTTCTGTCCACTGTACCGCTTTACAGTTACTGACCAATAGCACTTCCGTTTTGTGGTGGACTATCTGCAGCTTCGCTCCTTGCATCCAGCTACCAATCGTATGTATCGCCTCGGCGTGGAGGCGAACCAGCCCCAGGCTGAAAGCCTCCCTAATAAAGATAAATCAATCAATGTATCGCCTCGGTTGACAACACTTCCACCTCTTCGAGCGTCTCACCTGTTACCGCCAAGACGACGACATCCGCAAAGCCAACGTTCTTCACTCCAGAACAGCTTCAGCGTTAGCACGCCATTGTACATCCCGTTCCAGAACGTTGGTCTAAGGATGGAGCCCTGTGGAACTCCCGCTGTGATCTTAATCGATCTCTGTCCCATGTCTGTCTCGTAGACCAGAACCTGGTTCTAGAAATAACTCATTCTATGCAGCGCTTCGCTGTTGAACGCATTCTTGACGTCTATCGTTATCATGGCACAATATCGATCTTCTCTCCACTTCTGTTCGGACGCCTTCTCGGCTCTCTCGACCACTGTCGGAATTGCATCCACCGTCGATCTCCCTTTCCGGAATCCGAACTGCCTCTCCGTCAATCCATGCTCACTCTCCGTGCATTTCGTCAGCTTGTTTAGGATGATCCTCTCCAAGAGTTTTTGAAGTGTATCCAGCAGGCATATAGGCCTGTACGATGCTGGATCCCCCGGCGGTTTTCCTAGTTTCGGCAGCAATACTAGCTTCTGTATCCTCCACCTGTCAGAGAAGTGACCCTCGTCCTGGCATTTCTGTAGCGCCATCCTGAACATGTCCGAGGATGACTGGATCGCCGCTTTCAACGCTACGTTGGGGATTCCATCTTAATCGGGAGCTTTCTTCTTCTTCTTTCTTCTTCCTCGCATTTCAAGCTTATTGCGTATGGCATATTAGCTTATTGCGTGCTCTCAACTTAGTGTTCTAGATGCACTTCCACAGTTATTAATTGAGAGCTTTCGATGCCTGTACCATTTTTGCATTAGTATAATTGTGTGGCAAGTCCAATCATACTTCTATGCCCAGGGAAGTCGAGAAATTTTCCTACCCGAAAAATTCCTAGACTGGACCGGGAATCGAACCCAGCCACCTCCAGCATGGTCTTGCTTTGTAGCTGTGCCTTTACCGACTGAGCTAAGGGAGGTCCCTAACCGGGAGCTTTGTTCACCTTCAATTCTTCCCCCACTGCTACGAGTTCTTTATTGGTGACTTCGACGTTATCTCCCTCTCCTTCTTCGTACGGTGTAGATGGCCAGGTCATTGGGTCGTGCTTCGGGAAAAGTCCTTCCACGATTACTTTCAACTTCTCTGGGCACAATTCAGCGGGCATCGTTGGACCTCTGATCTTTGCCATCACGACTTGGTATGCGTCGCCCCAGAGGTTGGCATCAGCGTCTTGACACAGCTCATTAAAACAGTTTTACTTGCTCTGATTTATCTCTCGTTTAAGTGCGGCCAGGGCCTCGAAACACTCCTCTCCGTTCCTCTCTGTCTGCTTCCGCTCTTGCTCTCTGAACACGTCTTCTGGCTCTGAGATAACTAGCGTGGAGAGTGCTAAGTACCTCGTTCCACCAGTAAACTGGACGCCGTCTGTTATTTGGCTCCAGTTTCCTCGGCATGGTCGTGTCACATGCTCTCACTAAAGTTTCTGTCAGCTCGTCCGCGTTTAGATCTGCGGGCCTCCTGTCCACACGAAGCGCCTCAACGAAAATATCCTTGTCGAAAGCCTTCGTCTTCCACTTCCTGTTACAAGTTCTCGTCCTCCGTACTGCCACAGTATTCCGTTGATCGATGCCATATCGTATCGCCTGATGGTCACTATGGGTATATCCTTCGCACACTCTCCAATCCATGTTTGCCACCAGCGACGTCCTGCAGAAAGTTACGTCGATAATGGATTCCCAGCCATGTCTGCGAAAAGTACTGCTGGTGCCTTTATTGGCCTGCATATCTTCCAGTTTATGCCGGCCAATACCGGTCGTCGTCCGATCAGCTCTTTGGTAAGTCCATCCAGCATGTCATTGAACTTCTCCATCGTCCATCTGGGGGGTGCGTAACAAATACACATGAAGATTCCGTTGATTTTGGCGATCACGAAACCTTCGTATGAGCTCGCAACCACTTTGAATGGGGTATCTGCCCATCACTTGTATAGCAGCCATCCCAGTTCTATCCGCCACCCAGTTACCGTTATCGAGAGGGACTCGATACGGTTCCGCAATGATTGCAACGTCGCACTTTGTTTCTGTTGTCGGCTGCCACAACAATTTCAGCAATGTCGCAATGATTAAGGTTTATTTGGGTTACCTCCATTACATTGTGTGTGTGTGTGTGTGTGTGTTTTTTTTTTTTTTTTTTTTGAGAGGGGACGAAACTGGGCGCACAGTCACGGTGACACGGTGTGTGGGATTCTTATCGCACTAAAACCTTCTTGGACGCCTTGCCCTTTTCCCCCGGAGCCACTTGTCGTATTACTTCGGAGGGGGCCGTGCATTACGCACCTCACTTTACCTCAGCTAATTGGCGCTTCCAGTTCCTGATCGTCTCTCCAATTTGTGAGCCATTTAGCTCCGAGCGTCGCGTTCTACTTGGTTAACCCCGGTGGTGGATTCAGCCTACTCTGACGGAGAGTTCTCCTGGCTTCGGCTTTTAGTTCGCACTTGTGTGAGCACATTACTACTTTCTAGTTGGTCTTCTCGCCATTTTCGCTGCAGCGCTGACATGATCTGCGTTACTGCTCTGCTGACGGCGTTAAAGGTGCCCTCTTCACGACACATTTCTTCGACGACATTCTCCGTGCTAAGGGCGAGCATATCCTCTCGCACAGCATCAAATCTAGGACATTCGAAGACCACGTGCTCTGGTGATTCTTCCACATTCCCACACTCCGGACAGAAGGGTGACGTTGTGTGTCCGAACCGATGCAAGTACTTCTTGAAGCAGCCATAACCAGACAGGAACTGCGTCAAGTGGAAGTTGTTTATTGTTTATTGTTTAAGCTTATTGTTTATTGTTGTTTTACATCAACAGGCTGGATGAAGCCCCAATGATTTTAACCTTATCAACTATGGTAAAAAAACACATTCAAGCATGGTCATAACATAAAAAACATTAAAAAACATATATCTTATAGTCAGTTACTCCTGCCGGCGAAAAACAGAAGAAAACTCGACGAAGCGCATCACGGGAGAGATGAAAGTCGAAAACAGATACAACTCTGTTGAATGTTCTTTGCAGTTCGCAAATCGCACCGCACGCTCCATAATTTTTTGCGACGTAGAGGCAGTCTTAGCATAAGGTTATTACGAAGCGGTCGGGGTTTAACATTCAGGTCAATTTGCCTCAGGATAGCCTCACAATCTGTCCTTCCTTGCAGGATATCGGCCACGGTTAGGGCTCTGTTTGTGTCTTTTCTAGTCCGGAGAAGTTCTAGGTCGATAAGTTGACAACGGCTTTCGTAACTGGGTAATCGAAACGGATCATTCCTAGGCAATCTACGCAACGCAAAACGAAAAAAGTGACATTGAACAGATTCAATTCTTTCGGCACCGTTGTTGTAGTTTGGGTTCCTAACAGCTGAACAATACTCAAGCATTGATCGAACAAGCGAACAATAGAGAGATTTTAGACAGTAGATATCAGTGAAGTTTTTAGTTATCCTAAAAATGAACCCTAAAGTTCTTGACGCCTTATCAACAACATAAAGGGTGTCCGCGATGAAATTGCCACACTATGAAATTGCTCTAACTTTTTAACCGTTGGGTAGAATTTAATGAAAATTTGGGTGGATTTAGTTCATAGTGCATTATTTACATCCTGCAAGTTTTAAAGTCCTGTGACCAAAACTCGCGGAAATGGAGTCGAAAGAACAGCTCATGCGTGATAAAATCTTGCGCATTCATCACGAGAACAAGGATCTCTCGCATCGTTCCATCGCTAAAACGTTGGGAATCGCGAATTCCACGGTGTCGCGAGTGA